CACCCCACATATAGTTAAACAGCGAGCTCAGAATGTGATTTTCCGTTGTTGCAAAGTCCGTGGAGTATGGGAGCTGCTACAAAAGCTTCTGCAGGTTTCTGAAGGGTGCTACTGGCAGCCTTCGATTGGTGAAAGGCTGCGAATCGGTGGAGCAAAATGACTTGCCTCGTTCATGAGTTCTTCATAGGTGAATGACCTCGTTTCCCCGGTGTAATCGAACTATATGAATTTCCCATCGATCGCCCTAAATTTCCCAGCATTTGCGCGTGCCGTAGACCTTCAAAACCTCATCAATATGTCAACCGGAGCGATGCATGTCGTCCTGGTATGAAGCGCTTCTTGGCTTCCGTAAACCAATGTTGACCAGTCCCTGCAGTTACGGCATCTCCTCCTTACAAGGTGCAGATGTCTCGAGTCCGTGACTTCGTGGTTTTTGATCATTTTGTGGAAGATGTCGATAGTGCTGTTTCTCGCCCCTGGAACTTCTTTTTCGGGAACCTGGATTAGAGAAAATTCAGAGGCATAAGGAAAGTTCTAATTTAAGAGCGAAACCTTAGAAAGCTCTTGTAGACTAGACAAAGCCCCTCTAAATGGTGTACTACTGTTGGGTCCCATGATAATCAATCACTGCAAAAAACCACTGGAAAAGTAAACGGCTAGGAATTATTCATAGAAACCTATACTACGAGCATAGTACGTTATATCTTTTGGTGGACAATCAAGGACTGGAGATACACTGGGTCGAAAGAGTTCTATTTTAGAAAAGAAAGAGGAAAAAAGACAAAAAGAAAGAAAATAAGGAAAGATGAGATGCATCCCATTTCCCAATGAGTCTCACCTGAGTTACAAAAATAAGACAGAAAGACTTGCAAGTGCATGCGAACCGTCCTACGAACTAACGTGAACTGGAAAGAGTGAGCGAATTTACAGGCAGAGGGGCGGACCGCCCTCCTTTTTCCCGTGCAGGCAGTAGTTTCACGTAGAGAACATACATTGCTCGCACGGTGGTTGTGATGATTTTGACGGCGATCTTTGATGAGTTCACCTGCCTGCGACAACCTTGGCGTTGTTCACAATTTGCAACATCGGAAACTATGGGAAAGGGAACAGATCGTATCAAGTGGGAGAAGTGGAAATAGGAGAATTAATTGAAGAAAAGGGTTGAATATGGGCAGAATTACTTGGCTCCACTCCACCAACGACTTCGAGATTCGCGGAACAGAAAGTCGGTCAACTGTAGCTTGCAGATTCTTCCCATCGACACCTATCCAATCCTTTTCGCCGATTCTCCAGTGCGGCATCAGCTCGAAACAGTACCTTACCTTTTCCTGACGGGTCCAGAGATCAAATGATGGTCTTTAGAGCGTCACCTGTCTCATTCTATTAGTCTGCAGCAGTATCCCGAAATTCAAAGCGAAAATTATGAGCGATTATGAATCACCATGGCGATGATCGACCCCTATTCATAGTAAGCCCTCAGATGGCGCTCTATGATCGAGCTCACGTGCTATCGCAGCCGAACGCGACTTAGAGAACGAAATGGAATCAATCACTATATATTACTCGACTTATTGTAATAAGAGTCTTAACAGCCTGTTATCGGCACGGCGCAACTCAAGCCAGGAAGACTCTTAATCGCTTCAGAACACTAGTTGCTATGGACAAGAATCACAGATTTTCATTAATTCGTAGAATTTTAGGCAGCGTAGAATTAATGGAAAGCCGGCACGCAGCTGTCAGTCTTTTCCTATTGGTCTCCTGAGAGCTGAAGCTATATGTTCGACTTTGTTTCATACGGTGTTCTGCTAGAAGGGGCATGTTGCCTTTCGCTGAAAGCTTCTCTGCTTTAGTTCGGTATATAACTAAGGGCAGGTCTTGAGGGTTTTTGATGGGACCTGTAAATCTTTGCAAGTGCAAAGTGGTGGCGAAGAGATTAACTGGGAATTAAGTGGTCTTGCAAGATGACTGGACAGGGCTCGGAGATGTTGCTGCAGAGTGTCGGTGGTGGGGGAGGAGTCTGAGAAGAGGACGGCACAGCCCAATTTGACCTGCCTATTGTCATCGTTTACGGCCACTTGAAAGTTAGAGGAGAGACAGGCCTGTGCGCGGCGTCAACCCAGCCTATGACTCGCCGCAGCTTCCAATAGCGAACAAGACTCTAGCTCAGCCGTGTACGTTCGACCGGTGCTACTCTCGTCGCATGGGTGAAGCACTCTGATGAGTGCTGGTAGGATGGCTGCAGAGTGCAATCGACATATCTATATCTTTCCTAGCGTGACGCTCGGCGGCGTGCGAAGCTAGATGGATGCCTAGTGGACGCTGTCGCAAAGTATGATCGCAGCCTGGGCTGAACTACACCACCTGATCTTTGTAATGAACGCTGTACTCGAAAACGTCACGATTCTCATATTGTTTTACTCTTGCGCATGGCCTCCAGCGTTAGAAGTTCGGCAAAACAAACAAAAACGGCTTTTTCGCTGGGAAAAAAATAACAGAGCGCTTCACTTGAATTTGTCATTTTTAAAACATTCGAAACAGCTGAGAGGAAACAAAACAGGTCCAAGTTACAGTGCCAGATATTAGAATATAGTGTCTGGGAGTTTCGGAGCCTATCTCTTGTCAGTTCGGAATAGGAGCGAATCTTCACAGAGTGCGCTGTTTAATTAACAACCACATTTAGAAAATACATCGCTATCATATGGGCAACATCTCCAAGAAAGTGAAAGAGTACCTCAGGGAATCCGTCGTAGACCTGCGGGAATTTCTGAGCAATGGTGGCTGTTTCAGCCAATAGCAGATCAACCCACGTCAGCGAATCCCCGACAAGGTATCCTGAAAGTAGGTAAAGAGCAAGTCAGTTATTTCGATGGAAACTGGCTCTATGGATAAAAGAATAAGAGATAAATTCTCCGCCGTCACTACTCTTCCAGGATGCGGCACGCATTCTACTTCCATTCAGAATCGTAGTGGCTTACTGAATGCGATGTGGCCTATACAATGACTTGCGGGGGCCAGCCGATGTACAAGTCAGTATTCTTTATCCTCCCAGTTTAATCTAAGCAGTTTATCGTCCCACGGGATAGAAGGCCTGGGTCGCTTGGACAAAAGCTGACCCGAGATTTGGCCTCAGGACTGCGCGCGTGATAAGTGTGGTGTTTGCCACTGCACCACCTACGCCGCGAGAAAGTGTGGTAAACTAGAAAAACCTCTGGAAGTTTGTCCAATGAATAGTTAAGCTGACATGGGAGCAGATTTATAGCCACTCTTCGGAGAATCACCAATTATGTGAAGAGGCCGGTCTTGAGCTAAGCCAGGGCAACTTTTCCGTCATTTGTTGCCACCCTACGCCATTGGTGGAAAATATTGTCCCGGCTGCTCTCCAATCCACCCTCTCGTTTGCAGGGATAGTGACTGCCCATCTTATTTCGAATGGCGACTTGAACCTACGGTCCTTTCCTGGTAACTGTAGATCTATGCCTGACCTTTAATGGTCCATAGCGGTAAGTCAAAAACCAGGCTCGGAAAAATCGGTTCCGACACTGGGATAAGACCAACATTGACAGGGTGGTAGATGGAAACACCGGTCATTAAAAAAGGTTAGAACTCGCAGTAGAACCAGCGACAGTTCGTAAGCAAAATATCAGCAATACTCACCAGTTTTGTTATTATTTAGTATTTTCGACATGAAAGCGTAGAATTTATGGAAAGCCGGCACAAGCATATCTTTTCCTACGGTCTCCTGAAGCGTATGATTTAAGTATTTTTAGGTACATTACCGGTTTTTAAGAGAAAGGTAGCGCTACAAGGCCTTCCAACAAACCTTCAACATAGCTTGGCTAAAAAAAGAGATGTTCAATTTACCACGTCGCCTTTTTCTTGGCCCGTCAATACTCTGAAGTATGGACGAATCTCTAGGAAGAAGTCGTTGACCTGGATCGGCCAATGGCGTCCACTTGTGCCTGATCCCAAGCGGTTTTGCCAGCATAACCTAAATGAAGTTGCTACCAATCATATCAGTGGAGCTATGGGGTGCACTCACCGAATTCCCTGGCAAGATACCTGGCGATGGCCTGCGACTGACATAGCTGCTTTCCGTCGACTTCGAGCACGGGCAACTGACCAAAAGGCATCTCTGAAGGTAGCACGTAATGAGGTTCTGTTCCTTATTTCTATTCTTCTGACTTTGAAAACATATTCCACAAGAATTCAGAAGAACCTCCCATGTGAGGAAGCTATACTGGTCTGAAACCGTGGACGTGGTGCCGATTCAGCAGTTGCTGGATTACAAAAGCACGAAAGAATCGTATTTCGCTGGTAAATGCCATCTTTTCTGTGCCTTCGTCCTGTAATCAGGGCTACTAGCACATGAAATTGCCCCTCGTCCTTCGATTTTTCGTCACTCAGTTCACAGCTCTAGTCTGCCCTGACCTTCTGACCTTTTTTCTCTCGAAGAGAAAGGTACACTTTTTTTACAGGACGGTACTTTCTAATGCAAAAGCCAGGGGAGCCCAGACTCCAGTGCCACTTTTTTGCTTGAACGGCGCGGGAATGGGGGAACGGAGTTGGAGGCTGGAGATAACGGGGCGCCGTCACACAATCCATCAAGCTATCCTCGGTGCAGCGTTTGTACCGAGGTCTCGCAGGGAAACACGTACTCGGGTAGAGAACAATCACAAGTGAAGGAACGCAAGTAGCGCGTTTAGTTGCGGTTAGGCGTGTCGCTGGCCATGTGGCAGCGTGGGCAGAAGATAAAGGCGGAACTCAGATGTCACCACCTTCCAGCCCTGTTCCTGTTTTTGGCCGGAGAGTGTGTTACGCTACTGCAGCTGCAGATATGTTCATCACACACGTGGTTAGGACCAAGGTCCTCGGAGGCGAGGGTACATTTTGTCCTAAACTAGCGGATTCGTTAGCACGTTTCGATGCCCAGCTACCTACAGCTGCGAAAAGCAACACGTGACCCCCAGAGGGCGAAGAAGTCAGAGATGCGGCGACTTTAGGGTACGTTGCAAGAGAATCGTAGTTCGCCGCGCTGCGTCGCGTGCGACGCCGCGCCTGCTTATGACACGATTTTAGGGCACTGGCCGAGAAAAGACAATGTGTGACCAAATATAGACATAAGTGGGTAGTGCAATATAAGGAAACGTCGCCAGGGCACATCGTTGGTTGGGGAATCCCCAACAGGGGGGTCGTATTTGGCCGCCAGGAGAGGGGGGGTCGTAGTGAGTGCGGCAGCCAGTAACGAGCAGCGCAAATTGTCAATGTGCTGAGTCCTGTACACGAAACTTGCTTTGTAGAGAACTCGGATATGCAAAAAAATAGTACAAAACTTTCATTCATCAAACTAATCCGAAATAACTGCAAATATTAATAAGTCGACATTATCTCGTAAGTCCGTTGGTGACTAAACAGTACAACTCAAACTCTGGTTCGCTGCCAATGATATGGCGTGTCCGCGGTCGCGCTTGGCGCTGAGCCAACCTGTTTTTTCTCGACAAGCGACAGGACTACCATATCGTTCGTATAGACGTTTTCCAGCAGTTGGTCTCCTTTATCGGAGTCAGCAATTGGCGGAGCACGAATCTGGCAGCGTCGACAGGGACATGTTCCATCATACGCAACGGAAAACACTGTAAACAAGTGCACAGGCTCGCCATGGACCTCCCTGAACCCTATAGACACATTTGCTCGCGTGGACAGACATTACGCACAAGTTGCACCATCCCATCACTTCTGCGCGGACCTCAGTGCGCGGCGCATCCAAAGTCAGCGTAAACGAACCATATTCTGCTCCTGCTCCACCACAGGATACGTTTTTCATGCGTTCCTGGTTATTCGAACACGCTCACTTGAAACGGTACACAGGAAACGGGTTTTTCGCGCAGCTGGGAGTGTTCCCAAGAAATCCCCATCGCGAGATCTCATGAATCCCGAGAACTTCAGAAACAGTTCAAGAGGTTTTTAGAAAGAGAAAATCTTCAAACACTCGAAACCGTTCTCAGATTTGTGAAATGTTGAGTTAAAAAAATATATTGATTCAAACCTGTTCAGTTGAAATCACTCCCCAACGAATCCTTATGGCAGATTTCTCTGTGATTTTTGCGACCTTCATAAACGTTTCAGTACTTTTAGGAAGTGCAAACCTTCCTCTACACGAATACGGTCTCCTCTTCCCCACAGGTCCGCTTTTGAGGAAGTTATGGTCCTTCAAAACACCCCACTTTGCTGAAAACTCGCGTTCCACATGGCTGGTCCTGCCCAGAATCCCTTCCCCCGATACGCTAATCGATACTCGACAACCAGCTGATTTCGACTGGTTTGCTTGTCACGCAGCGTGGCGTGTGTCAGTTTGTTTAATGTTTAATTTATTGCTTTTCTTTCTTTTTTTCTTTTGCTTTATTGCATTTATTGCTCCTGTTTGTGCTATATCTGTTATATGTGTTATAAGTATCGTGTTCCAAAGTTCTGCCAACTTTCCTGATGCCTTTCTATTGGGTCGGGGGGGGGGGGTCGTACCGAACCCCCAAAAAAGGGGGGGGGGGGTCGTACAGGCTCGACCAAAATCCCCATCGAATGCTGTGCCCTGAGACATCGCGCCCATTACCGTGCGCGACGGAGCGGCAACTTGCGAACAGTTTTTTTTTCCCGCAGCTGTTGCTAGTGAGTTTGTTTCAAGGTAGGACCTAATGTAATTCGTACGTCCTCAAAGTCTTTGCCTGCAAAAGAGTAGGTTGACACCTGAGAATGGACATAAAAATAACAAGTTTTCTACTCAGCAATTGAAGCGGTTAGTGAACAGGTTGCCCGGTTGGTGGAAAAGTAGTAATGATTACGACAAAAACCTGGGGATCAAAAAGAACTACGATGAAATCAGCCCACCTGGCGGTTGACTTCAGCAAGCCCTCGTCCATTAAAATATGTCAGCTTGTAGTGAACCATTCTGAAACACAGCTTCGACCTTATAAAACTTTGCTTTATTTCACATACCAGAGTACATACAGTTCTGATTCCTGCAAACGATAGGGCGTGGGCGTGGGCTGAAACGTTGCCAAAGGGGTCTGATGCCATGCTGAGTCCGCAAGATTTGAGTGGGAGGCCTGTTCTGGCTGCGATACAACTCTCGCACCCCTGTACACCCCCTTTCGTGGAATCATGACTTTAAATTACGGCAAAGCGAGAAACATTTTTCAGCACAAATACCTTCTCGCATCGGTTCTACTGACAATTCAGAAGGTTCTGCTATAAGAAATGCTAAGACTCGGCGCTCTCCGACTTAGGAGAGGGGTGGGAGACGTTCTGCACTTTCCTAGTTCCTTTGAATAGTTCATGTCGATTAACTTCTCTCCTTGGTAGAACCCATAAACCTCTGAGAAGTTATGAAAAGGTAGAAGTGAGCCATTTCAGTAACAAGAATTCATAGATCTTCACGAAGGGGTCCTTGTTTGGGAGGCATTTGTTGCCCCTCCAAGCCGAACAGCGCCAAGATTTTTCGCGAACAGTCGGTAGAAGGTGACACATGATGGGATCAAAGAGAAAATTCACTTAGCTAATGGTAAACGAGAAACTTGCAGCATCAAAAGGCAATAGTTTCAGAACAGGCGGATGAGAAAAGTGACAAGAAGGCCAACAACAGCTCCCATTCAGGGAGCAGCACTACAGACTTCTTGTTTGCTGCGATGCTGGGACGTGTCAAGTGGCTTGCTTTGGGGCGGCTTGCCCGTTCTCCACCAATTGCTGAAGGTGGCAGGCGACAACAATTGGTGAGAAACGGGCTGGCGCTATGCCAGGCCCAGCTCCCCTGACATGCCCAGCAGCTGCAGCAAACAAGTCTGCAAGCTCTAGAAGCTCATTTGGAGTTATGAACACATTTAACTGATTGCAGAGTTGATCTGGACAATACTGGCACTGCGGCGGCTCTATTTCCCTTCAGGTGTCTGGTAACGGTGGATATTCTGAGCCTATTGGTTGACCAGTGATCAGTAGGGAATGCAACCTAATCAACAGGTGGGATAACGTCGCCGTTCCCATGAGCTTTGTTGCCTACCCACGTTGCGTGCCCGTCCTTGAGCTCTTGAGCTGTTCTCCTTCTGTGACCGTGATAGTGGTAGAAATGCGAAACCTTCGAACCTTCGGGCCTTCCTTTCTCCGTGCAGCAAATTCTGTGGCAACCTGTGTGGTAGTTTTCAAGTACGATGGACACTGCAGCTCAAGACTTCTGCACTCTTTGCCCTTTTTTGCCGCGGTGATTGCAGTGATGACTGTTGCAGTGAAGCTGAACAAATGCGTGATACCACTGAATGGTCACCACTGCCACACAGGAAGACTGAACCATCCAGCGACTTGGAAGCCACAAAGAAGTCTAGTGCTGTACGAGTATAGGACTACAAGTGTTTGTCAGACAAACAAAAGTTGGTCAGTCCCGATTGGACTAAATAAAGGTTCCATCGCTCTAATTTTCTTCAGGTTCTCACAATCTCATCAATAAGTAGACCAGACCGGGGCACTTCTTCCAGGCTGAAACTGAAACTTGAGTTCGCTACAGCAGTTGAGCAGTTTGCTGCAGCTATGGTTCAAGATGTTACGAACAGATGCCGTGTTTTTCGACAGCTTTATGACCGAAAATAGCGGGGAAAGCTCTTTACTGCCACCTGGAACTTCATTTTCAAGTGTCCGAATTTGAATGTTATTACACTTTTGTAAACCATATAAAGCCCCTCAGAATATATTATTGTTGATCCCATAATATTCAATGCTGCAAAAAAACCACTGAAAAACGGCTGACGGTAATATCTTTTAGCGGACTGTCAAAGATCGGAGAATACCTAGTCGAATGAGGTGCTATTCATTAGCAAACGAGGAAAAAGACGAATAGAAAGAAAGGGAGAAAGTAAGAAAAGACAAGATGCACCTCAGCCCCCATTAAATTCTTTCTAACTTGCACCGATAAGACTGGAAGGCTAGCAAAAGCACATGAGTCGCCCTACGAACTAACGTGAACGGGAAAGACTGAGCGAAATCGGTGGCAGAGCGGCGGATCGTCCTCGTTTTTCCCGTGCTGGCAGTCATTTCACGTAGAGAACATACATTGCTCGCACGGTGGTTGTGATGATTTTGACGGCGATCTTTGATGAGTTCACCTGCCGCGACCACCTTGGCGTTGCTCACAGTTTGCAACATCGGAAACTATGGGAAAAGAAGAGATACGTGTGTGTTAAGTGGGAGACTGGGAGAAGTGAAAAATGGGAGTGAGCTGATCAATAAAATACGGGGAGCAAACTGAAAAAGGAGTTGGATATGTCCACACTCGTGGCTGCCCACTCTTCCAGAGTTTTCGACGGATCCTGCACGAAAGAAACTGCGTTCCAACTGTAGTCTGGCAAACACTTCATATCGAATCTAAAGTACATCTTTTCCGACCTCTACACCTAGAAAATTACTTGTCCAGTATTACGTTTGTCAGGAAAGTTCTTCAGCGTTTTGTGTCACTGATTTTTTGTCACACTCATTGGCAGACGCTGCAAATACCATTCTCCCCGCGTTGCGTGCTCAGTAGTATAAGTCCCTCGAAGAGCAATCTTCTTGCGATATCTGATCGGTATTCATCTGGCCATTTCACCATTGCTCGATAAACTCCCTTTTCCAAACTTTTTGCACCCAAGGCCGACTGTCAAAAGAGCAACTTCGGACGATATTGTTCTTCGACTACAAATTGGGTCAATCCGCAGTCGAGACAGCTCGAAAAATTAACCAGGTGTGGGGCCCACTAGTGTTGGAGAAAGCACCGTGCGACAATGGTTCGACAACTTTCGTTCTGGAGATTTCAGCCTTGAAGGTGAAAGCCTCCGTAGCCACGTCGGATCCTAAAGCAATAACCTCGACCAGAATTCGAAGCGTTTCGTGCAGGCTTGACTCGCTGCCCAAACAGTTTCAGAGACGATTGCAGAAAAGCTAGGCGTTGGCAAATCCACTGTGTTGCAGATGGTCTGAAACGCATTGGGAAGGTGAAAAAACTCGACAAGTGGGTGCCCCACAATTTGAGTGACCGAAATTTGCAAACGTCTCGGTTTTCTTGCTCAATCCGCTTTGCACACAAGAAACGACCCGTTTTTGGACCGAACTGTCACCTGTGATGAACTGTACCTGTGATGAAAAGTGGATCATGTATGATAACAGGAGACGTTCCGGACAGTGGTTGGATGCCGACGAACCACCGAGGCAATTTCCAAAGCCGAATCCTCACGAAAAAAAGATTATGGTCACAGTGTGGTGGTCATCGGCTGGTGTGATCCACTATAACTTTTGTCACCAGGCCAAACCATCACAGCAGAGTCCTACTAAGAAGAATATCGGCGAGATGTATGAAAATTGCTTCAGCTGAGCGAGCGCTTTTCAATAGAAATGGTCCGATTCTTTTGCATGACAACGCCCGCCCACACGTTTCACAAATCACTATCCATAAATTGAACGAATTGGGGGTTGAAGTTCTACCTCACCCGCCATATTCTCCAGACCTTTCACCAACCGACTATCACCTTTTCAAACATTTTCAGAACTTCCTTGCTGAAAAATACTTTCAATCAGGACCAGGCAAAAAAAGCCTTCGTGGATTTCCCGTAGATTCTCCGGCCACACTTCCAGTTTTTTTTTGGTGAGTTTTCTTCGAGCCGAGATGTCACATTGGTAAAAGTGTAACTGATTCCAATGGAGTGGCTATTTCGATGGAATCGACGATGAGTATTAAAGTAAGTTAAGATTCGTTTAAAGTGAAACACTCAAAACGCTGAGAACTTTCCGGACAACCTAATAGTAAGTGCGCTGGCAGCACAAGTCTTTTCTCACATGGACCTTTATTTATAACCTGAGCAGTGGCGCCCGTCCGAGTTGTCCCACCATACTCCCCAACTCGTTGAAATAACGCTAATGAGCCTTTCTTTACCTGAGGCCCAAGGCTACTGTTAGATTAGCGAAAACTTTGGCACTACTACACCAACGGCGAGTACCATCCAATCGAAGGGCTCGACTATCCTGATCTTTGGAACCTTGAGTAATGCGTCCATGGTCTTCGATCGGCGACAGACTGTGAAACTCCGATTTTTCCCTATCAATTTTGTGTGGCGGATAATTCCGAGTGTCGCTAATTCGACTGTGCGTTCAAGGGCGCTGACCCCAGATTACTCCTGCTCGCACGAAGTTCAACTGTAGCGCCAGCCTGTCATTCTTTCAACGGACATTTCTTCACTGTCGAAAACTGGGGCACCAAAAGCAGAGGCGCCACCTTGCCGGAAATGACAAGGTGAGGCTCTGAACAGGTGAGCGTATCCGTAGCTGAATAGGTGTAAGCAAATGAACTACGTTGAGTTGTACCTCAGCTGCATGCTTCTACAAGGAGCAAAAAAGTAAGCCTAGGTCTGATACCGCGGTCATTATCTGGACATAGAGAAAAACCTCCACCCGTTTAAGGAACGCCCTTGGGGTTTTGAAGGTAGAGCGAAACACTAACTGCACACTCATTTCCGTAAATTCAGATCCGCGTGTGTGGGTTATCGGGTCCGCAACTGCAGAGGAGGGCCACTTTTCTGGGTCAAAAATACACAGGTACAGGCTAGAGGGGAATGATCTAAGTGCGTTTCCCAAGTTTCCCTTTGCCCGCGCTATGGCCAGCCAACACTTAGCCACAGCCAAACGCGTCCCTTGCTTGCGCCCTCTTACTTCTGCCTAATCCCGAGCGCCGAGTGCGTGTTCTGCTGCGGCTCATATCGCCGCAAGTGCAACACCTTGAGGATAGCGCGAACGGACTATGGAGATAACAAGTATGAATCGCTACTCTACAACCCCGTTCTTGAGTACTTATGAGCTGAGAAAGGTGGTACTCTACTGCAGCTGCAGACCCAATCGCCTCGTGCATGGCAAAGAACGTTCTCGCAAGTGTGTGTACAGTTTGCCTTTGGGATCAGCGTTAATAACCGCGTCTGGTGGTGTAAGCCGGTGAACCGTGGAAAAGCGGACAAAATCGTGAGTAATGGGCTATTCAGAAGTGCCGAAGAAGGGCCCGAATGCAAGCAAGCGCCGACATTACGCATAAATCTTACGCTTAGACTACAAAGGCTTTGATATTATTTGACGCAGAATGTTAATTGGGTCTTTGAATTGAATTCCATAATATATCGCTCCCAACCCTATAACTCTGAGAAAAAGGCAAAGCTCCACCCACGGTATTACCTGCCTTATTGCTATTACGACAATTTCTTCCACCAAAGTTTCTTCCACCGGCTGCTACGTTTCCTTCACAGGCATGCCCAACTGCCTTACTGGGTAGCAGCGACAGCCCTCCTGGGGTTCATGTACGACCACTATACCAGGCTGCTATCACAGTCAATCTCCACGACAATTCATATGGAGGGAATGATTAGTTTCCAAGTCTGCTGCGACCGTTTTCCCTTGCCTCTTCCGTTACAAGGCAGCGTTCAGATATCGTGATGACGCGCGCCATTATCGCAAAGTCTGAACACTGTCTAACACCCACTGGCATTTCGTCAGCGGACAGACAGGACTTTTCTGTAAGAAAGTGAGATGTTCAAGTACAAACAACAAGAGGGGTTCATTTATATTTATAGAAAGTCAATAGAAAAAACAACACCGGTGTAATAGATATATGAGAGTAACAAGCGTGCATTTCGATTAAGGTAGTTTCCACTCTGCCACACGTTTCTCCTTTTTGGAGTCACATTACACCTCAGACATTTAAGGTTCTCTACTAATCAGAGACTACCGCGATCCCCGTGGTCTCGTGGCAACTAACCAACGAGAATCACGGGCTCCTGTCATAGATGGAACCATAGTACGAAATAGTAAAGAAACCAAGACCGAACTGTAGCACAGTGGAAACTGCCTTTATATCAAAGTCAACCAATCAGAACGCCGTTTGTGGACGAGTCTCAATCCATTTCTTGATTTTTGGATTCTCTTGTATTTTCTTCATATGAGCCTGGACCTGAAATAGAGAACGTTTGGGTCAGTTCATAAGAACCTGAAAATTATACCGAGCACATAGGTTGGGCCACTATCGTAAGCCGTCTTGGAACTGTGCCGCTAGTTGTGGCAACGCGCGCGGACGCTAACTGGGCTGTGTTCAGATTTCGCGATGATGCGAGTTAGCGCCTCCGTCGCACCTATTGAAGGGGACGCAGCCGGGTAACGGCCCGGCTCGCACGCTCGGTGTTTTGGGGGGGGTAAAGAGTACAGGGAGAATACAAGGGTAGCAGGCTGTGTGATGAGGCGTTATAAAATTGCAACTGCTGCTGTATGCGACAGCACTTCTTATTTTATGACGTCCAATCACACTGTCTGGTACCCTCCTATTCCCCTGTACTCTCTCAAAACGCTAGCAGCCGACGCCAATCGATACCCGTCTGCGTTCTATAGTTGCGTTGACGCCCGTTGAGCGCTACGACACACGTCACAGCCAGTTTGCCAGTTTATGGCATAATTGTTGCTAGCTAGCTGATTCGACATACTCTCCCCTTTCTGACAGGCACAATAGGAGGTTACAGTAACTTGTTTGGCTTGGGAGGGGAGTGCGGAACGAAAACTGAACTGCTTCTGAAAACTGCCTCGAAAATCGTTAAGCAGAGGTCAATAGTTAGCCATTTTTGCCATATACGCCATTGAAATTTAAATATGAAAAGTATTCTATATTCCGTAGCACCTCTACATTAGATCAATTGAGTCCCCATGTTAACGCGACGCGCGAAGCGCCTTTTCGCCGCAAAGTGGATCTCCCAAACGACATGCGTAGTCATACCTTAGGACTCGAAATCATAGTTCACCATTGTGCAATTGATCCACCAACTATGATTTTCGACTCCCAGGGTTTCAAAAATTAGATTAAATGAACCGACGCTTACCTCTGGGAATCCATCAAGGAATCCAGGAACCATCCTGCACATATCGGCCATATGTTCAGCGATTAGCACATCCACCCAGCTGATCTTGTCACCCACGAGGTAACCTATAAGAAATCAAACTGTACTCTACACGAGAGTTACTGTAGGTTCAAATCCATCCATCATTGAAACCATCAATTCCCCAGTCGCAAAAAAATATAATTTGACAGAACTTGAAGGCTGAACACCCAGTAGAATGGCCTTTGATCCGTCCTCGAAAAAAGCCAACGGTGGCAATTTACTAGTTGGGGTGAGACCATTAAAATCACCAGAACATCCAAAGACGAGTTTTTACTAGTACGGTCTCTTGGGGAGGCACAGAATAGAAAATGGATTTTGCCAGCTCAAGGACTCGATCTCATGACCATGCACCCCACCCCCAGCACCCTTCTGCTCTTTGTTCTTTGAGTGGCTCTAGTCATGTAATACTTAAGAAACGACCAACCGTGAGCAGCGTTCTTCTTGAGGAAGTTTGTGACAAACTTAAGGAATTTGTCACGAGCTGGCATTAGCACCTCAGTCTTCAGCTTCTCCTAAACCACTTAATATTTAATTAATTTTATGACCTTTACCCCATGCAAAGTGTTCCCAACTTACTGGATCTCCAGGCATAAATCCATGAG